TTAAAATTGCCAACTTGTAGCTTTTGAGTCTTCAATTTGAACAATTCCTGCATAGACGAAGGTCTGGGTTCAAAATGAAACTGTCGAGTTTAAACAAAAAGTGACTGTTCAATGATAATATTTCAAGTTTAAGGGCGAATAGTTGTGGCTAAAACAAAAATCTCGTATTCAAGTTTGCAGTTTTCGGCTCAACCAAGTAGATTTCAAGTTGAAAGTGAACTCGTTTTGAGAGTTGAAAGTTCCGATTCGTAGCCTTCGTTTTCTGAAAGTTTCGGCATTAGATCTTCAACTTATAATCGCACTTTTTAGTTCAAGTGAGTAGGTTTCAAAAAGTCGTCGAATATTGAAGCTAAAGGCATTTGAGGCAAATCTGAAGCATTTGAGCCGAGATTGGCGAGAACATGAGCCCATATGGATCTTCGGTTTCCGCGAATTCAATAGATTAATCTTGGCACCGCGAAGAACTCCATTGAAACAAACAATAATTTTCTTCTCATCGTCGTCGATTTAAAGGTCCCCAGGTCAGGCACATTTCGCAATTTCATTTGATTTATCAGCCATTAACAAGCCAGCATTTTCGCAAATAAGAATGTCGGCTTGTTAATGTGTCAAACAATAAGACAAACACGCCTCTGAATGCATATTTCTCGATCTGTTAATGCATTCTGACCTTTCCGGCTTCGGTGAAATTTAAATTTTGAAACAGCCCAGAAGCCAGGCTCCGCTTTACCACGACCATCTACTACCACTGCTAACGGTTTTCTATTATTAAATTTAATTTTCCGGTGTCGTTTACATGCAAATGATGGTGTGGACCTTATATGGCACAAATAGGAAAAAACTAACTGTAGATGAGGCGCTGCTTGAATGTGAACAATGATTAACTAAAGGGGATTTTAGCGGAACATTTTCCTTAAAAGCCACAGTTGTATTAATATACATTGTGGGCAACCATCATCAACGCACATTCCACGGCCGAAGACTTAATGACGGAGAGCAACTAAATCGTTAATAACTCGGCATAAATCAGCATTCTTTATGGGTTTTTCGATGTTTGCATGACATCAGATGGTGCCAAACAGGGAAGCAAATCCCCAAGGACATTTTCATTAGCCGCATTTTACATTACCAAAATCCGTAAATCATCAGAACGATCAACACTATTATTAAACAACAATCTACAAAAAGGAACCTGAAAACACTGTTCAGCTCCAGCAATCGATTGTGTCCCAAAATCACATCCAGAAGAACCGATTCTTCCACATATGTTTAATTCAGGCGCAGGTTTTTCACTGTCAATGTAGATCGATCCAAGGCGAATGCCTTGGAGGAAAATGCAAAAAAATTAATCCAAACTTCGCTTTAATAGAAATTACTGTTTATTATTGATTAAATTTTCTGTAGCGACCTTTTTTGCTCGGCCTGCCGTTAATAAACCCGAACTCCTAGACTAGAAGAACGACCGTTTGATGATAGTGAGTCGACACGGAGACTGCAGGAGCTTAATTCAATAACTATTAAGGCTTTTTGCTATTGAAACTGATCATATTTGCTCTGCTGGCGCATTTCTTGACCGTTTGGCCATCGGTTAATTCCACAGGCTTCGCCATTTCTTCAGCAGGAGGTCGCTTTGTTAAAGCTACATACTTTCAAGCGGGTAGAGATTTAAAAGGGCAGAGGGCGCGATGTCTTTGGAAGCAACCCTCTATTTATGCATCTCAGACTTGATTGTTTGCTCAGAAAACCGGCAAACTAGAGATTTTTTTGCATGCACTCAGTAGGGCAAAGCGTGTTCTATCAGTTCTTTCAGTGATCATTAGGCAATTTTCTGGAATTTTCCAAAACTGTCTGGGTTTCCTGGCGGTTGTTGAAGACTAGAGCATTTGTGTTCTCGGTAACTCCTTTTGCACGTATTTTAGCGAAAGGTCTGTTCAACTAGGGGCGAAAATTACGATCTTAACCGACCATCAGGCAACTTGCAACAAATTTGCATCTGTTTTGCAGATATTTAGCACACCGAAGTTTGGGATTTGTTTTCGCAAGAACTTGCAAAATAGGGAAATAACTCGTCTATCGCATTCGTGGGGCAAAGTCTGGCCTGCAAGGGGAAAACGTTTTGATTTTGAATCATTTGCAGGAAATGTTCGGAATTTTTTCCAATTTTTGGTTCATTTTGCGCGCTTATTTATGCAGACTGTATAAATATATATATATGTATTTTCCAAACTTCTGTCTGTATCAGGAAATATTGAATTTTTCAAAAAAGAGTTTGCATATTGACAACAAAGAGATTCTAGAGGCAAAATCAGTTTCACCCTTAAATTTGCCTCAAAAGCAAAAGTTCAACATAAACCTTCCTTTGTAAGAAATTTTGATTTTGTCAAAAAAACAACCAGAAGAAGAAGGTCGCATTAAATAATCGTGAATTAAAACCGTATTTTTATGTTTTTTAGGAATAACCTAAGTATAATAGGTTGAAACCTGCAAGGAAAATATCAACTTTAGACGACAAAGTCTGGTTTCAAAATGGAAACATTTGCTCAAAATTGCATCACAAATCTGTGAATTCTAGAAATGTTCAGTCAAAAATGGACGTGGAAACTTGAAAGTTCGATGCTCGATTATTTGAAGTAAAAATGTAATTTTTTACTCTTGTTACTTGAATGAAATTAATATGGTGTCGAATTTCAGCGCAAAAGTCCGAGTTTTAATCAAAAGTTCCCGGTTTGAACTCAAACAGATTTCAAGTTTGAACAGGAA